CGCGCTCCCTCTCTCGCGCTCCCTCTCTCGCGCTCCCTCTCTCGCGCTCTCTCTCTCGCGCTATCTCTTTCTCTCGCGCTCTGTTTCTCTCGTTCTCTTTCGCACTCTTTCTCACGTTCTCCTTCTCTTCCTCTTCTCTCTCTCTCTCTCTCTCTCTCTCTCTCTCTGAGTCTCTCTCTCTCTCTCTGTTTATCTTTCTGTCACTGTTTCCTATTCTCTCCCTGTTTCTGATCCTCTCTTTCTCTTTCTCTCTTTCTGTTTCTATTTCGCTCTCAGTTTTTCTCTCTCCCTCTCTGTTTATCTTTCTCTCTCTCTGTGTGTTTGTGTCTCTCTGTGTTTGTCTCTCTCCCCCCTCTTTCTCTCTCTCCGACTCTCTCGCCGCGCGTAATCCTTTCCGATTCGGCTACCGATCCGACCGAGCAACGCTCCGGGAAACTTTGCTCCTCGGATGATTTATGAGAACACACCCATGACTCCGCGACGGAACCGCTTCCCGAACCTTGTCGAGATAGTTCTTAGTCCCGCTTCAGTCCGTTGTCCGATCGTAGGCCAACGTAGATCCTCCGGAAGCGCTATCATCCTTGGTCAATTTCGCGACGCAGTTTAATCCACGAAGGATGGACAGTTCCTGAGACTCTCCTTCTTATTTGACAAGTTTTCCTTTTAACTTCCATTCTCGGAAATACATAGAAACACTTAGTAAATAGTTCTGAACGTAGCATAATACTGAAAAGGCACTACTACCTGCGCCTAAAAATTATCCATTTAATACTCAATAGTAAGATCTAACGAAGCGAATCGAAAGTAATCTGTCCTATATATTTCACTCCATGTCGTTATACTCACGACAGCGGAAGGTTCGAATAATCGCATCTCCTCCCTCCAAATTGTCTATTTTCATGTACAAGCTGAGCGTCAATCAGGGAGTATTCACCGTAATTGTTTCTATTACACGATCTAAACCCGTACACCTTTAGTTTGTAAGAAAAGATCCTCGTAAGAACGCAATCTTAAACAAATCATTCACGTCGTGCGCGCACGAAGCGAAATAATAATAAACGACGAATACTTACGCGACCAGTTAATGAGCCGATGCGTTCTCCGTTTTAATCGGCCCGCCGCGCCGTTCGGAAAGCCAGAAACACGTCCGATTCGATTGAGTATAGAAGAAGAGAGGATCTAATGCCCGCCGCGTATCGTTTTATTCGCGGGCGATCGGTCTTCGTCGCGCGCCACCTATGCGCGATTATTTATTCGCACGTTAATGGCCGTGTTCCACTTAGGACGCCAATAAACGGCGGACTATGAACAAGATATTCGAGAGATAAATAGAGGACGGATGGCTGGAATTACGCTTATGAATAATCATTGCCGATATTACCGGCGTCGTTGAAAAGCAAGCCCGGGGTAATTACGCGAGCACGATCCTCTCGATCGTAACCCTTCTGCCGGGTGCCAGGCGACTGTGTACGCGACTATAGTCCACGGAGAGCGAGAGAGATAGAGAGAGAGAGAGAGATGAAAAGAGAGAGAGGGCAAGAGACAGATAAAGAGGGGAAGAGAGAAAACGAGAGCGCGAGAGAGAGAGAGAGAAAAGAGGAAGAGAAAGAGAGCGAGAAAGAGAGAGCTAGAGAGAGAGAAAGCGAGAGAGAGCGAGAGAGAGCGAGAGAGAGAGCGCGTGAGAGCTAGCGCGAGAGAGAGAGAGCGCGAGGGAGAGAGCGCTTGAGAGAGAGCGCGAGAGAGAGAGCTAGCGAGAGAGAGAGAGAGTACGAGAGAGCTAGCGCGAGAGAGAGAGAGTGCGAGAGAGCTAGCGCGAGAGAAAGAGAGCGGGAGAGAGAGCTAACGCGATAGAGAAAGCGAGAGCGCGGGAGAGCTAGCGCGAGAGAGAGAGAGCGCGAGAGAGCTAGCGCC